ATATATATGAGAAAGAAAAGGAACGAGAGAGAGAGAGAGAGAAAAAAAAACAAACAACAAAAAGAGAGAGAGAGGGAGAGACAACGACCTCCACACGGACCTGGCCCACGTCTCCTTCTCCTACACCGCCTCCTCCTCCGCCCCCGCCTCCACCCGGCCCACAAGAGCCCGCGGAACCCTCGTGAGCCCAGCAGGGAAGGGCGGCATATCCTCGCGAGCGCCGCCACGCCTCGACGCCGCAGCGCCCGGCCCCACGACGGGCCCGCAGGTGGCCCTCAACGCCGGCAGCGTCCGCCAAGCCGCACGGGAAGGGCGCCCGCGAGGGCCACCGCCCAAGTGCCCGGCCACAGCTGGACCACACAGAGCCGGCAAGAGCCTCTGGCCCACCTGCAGGAAGGGCGCCATCCGTGCGAGGGTCGCCACTTCTCGAGAGCCACTGCGCACGGCCTACACAACCGAAGGCCGCCACTCATCCACGGACGCCCAAGCGCCCAGCCCACAGCTGGTCAACAGAACAGGCAGAGCCTTCCACCCCGCTGGGAAGCGCGCCAATCTGGTGAGGGTTGCCACATCTCAGAAGCCCAGGCGCCTGGCACGTAGCTGGCCCACAGAGCCGGCAGATGCCTCTGGCCCACCAGGAGGGGCGCCATCCCCGTGAGGGTCGCCGCTCATCGAAGGCCCAAGCGCACGGCCCACAGCTGGCCCACAAAGCGGGCAGAGGCCACTCCACCAAGAGGGGCGCCATCCCTGTGAATGTCGCCACTCTTCGACCGCCAAAGCGCCCGGCCCACAGCTGGCCCGCAGAGCCAGCAGAAGTCTCCGATAACGTAAGCCCTCGACGAGCCGGGGCTGAATGAAAGCACCCCGGAGGCCCGAAAAAAACGTCAGGAACCAGCAGAAACCTCGGAAAATCAAGCGATGGGGCCCCAGACATCCGACGTCATGTCTCTTGTTTACTGCGCGGCCACCGAAATGGCGACCCTTCTTTTCCCGAGGGGCTGGTTTTCATCCTGGGTCTTCCTGCTAACGGCCTGGACGCCTGGCAAGGCCCCGCACTGCGACAAGCATCCACCTGTTGTTCAATTACAAGCGTTGGAGGTCTGGAGCTCGTGCACGGCAAATTCAGTTCGTGCTGCGATGACGTCGGCATTGGTCTCTGCCTCCGCGTGGCCCGATCTGCCGATATCAGCCGATTCCGGGCCGCTGGCGGCGTTCAGCCCTGAATGCCCGAGCCGCCGCCGCGTCGAGGCGGCGCGAACCTGTCGTGCAATCGGGCTGGCTTGGACAGAACACCCGAGAGGACGCAAGACTCTTCTAATGGCAACGTGGCCCCTATCACACCAAAGGACAAGCGGGTTGAAAAGGTCGGGATAGACAGGACTTAAGGGCACCCTCGATTTGGCATGGTCGACCTACCCACATATTCGGCGGCGAGCCCTGGGGGGAAGCGAGAAGGGGCGGGCCTTCACAGGAGTCTCGAAGTTCCCTGGCCGTCTGAGAAGTTTTCGGAGCCTTCCTCGACGACGGAGAGAACCTCTCAGCAGCCTGGAGGCCTGCTGAGAAGCCCCGCCGCCTTCTGAGAAGGCCTTCTCCTTCTCACTCCCCCCCTCGCTCGTCGCCGAATCTGGTTTTGTGGTCGCAACTCGGCCGTTCGGGATGATCCGGGCACCCCGGGGACGCCCTCGGCGAGGCGCGGCCGCTGGAACGCATCCCGAGGGCGGAACTTCGCCCGAACTCGAACCTGACTTCGCACATCTTGCCCGATCGATGCGAGACCTGCGATGATCTTCGCACACTCGCGGCCCGACGCCCTCGCGCCGCCCCTCTCCGGGGGAAGGGCAAGCGCTCTGGCCCTGACCGCGGCGCGCGAAGCGCAAACCCGCCGAGGACCGACGCAGCCGCCCGAAGACCTCGAACCTCGAAGTCCGAAACTTCGCCGCCGAACTCGGGGCCGACTGCGCGTGGTCGCGCTCTCGGGCCGCGGCCTGACCGACCCCTCGCAGACCATCCCCTTCGGTGGCGCCCTCCTCGCCCTGCGAGCTGCCCTCCGGCCGCATACAAACGTCTTGGGGCGAGGCGAGGGGGACGTCACGGAAGGGGATGGGCTGCTAGGGGTCGGTTTGAGCAGGGATCGACCGTCCTGGCATTCCTATAGGCCTGCCACGGAATGTTCTTAGAACCCCCAAATGTTCTGAGGCCAGGAACAATGTCCTTAGAACATGAACCCGGTGTGATAAAACGGGACAATCCCAGGCAGAAATGCTCTGGGAACATTTCGTGGAAACCACAGACGGTTCTTAGAACATTGTTCCCTACCTAGGCTCTGCCTAGAAGGGTTCTTACTGTGTTTGCTTAAAGGGGCCGGCAGTGGGGCTCGCCCCGGGCGGTTCCCCCAGGATCCGCCCCGCGGTTCCCCCAGCTACGTCCCCTTAGCTTAGCGTTGCTTATCTCATCTGAGCTTAGCCTAGCTTAGCTTAGCTTAGCGTAGCTCAGCCTAGCCTAGCACATCTTCGCTTAGCTTAGCTTAGTTCAGCCTAGCCTAGCTTAGCTTAGCTCAGCTTAGCACCGCATTTTCAGATCATCGCATAATATAGCATAGCGCAGCATAGCATAGCACAGCATAATGCAACATCATAGCGCACCATATGATACCATAGCATAGCATAACTTAACCTAGCATGTCACAACGCAGCATCGCATAGCATAGCATAGCATAGCATATCATAGCATAGAGCAGCATATCATATCATATCATATCATATCATAGATAGCGCAGCACAGCATATCATAGCATAACATACCATCGCATATCATAGCGCAGCCTACCATAGCATAGTATAGCGCAGTATATCATATGATATCATAGCCTAGCATAGCATAGCATAGCGCAGCATAGCATAGCATGGCGCAGCATAGCATAGCATATCATAGCATAGCGCAGCATAGTATAGCATAGCCTAGCATAACATAGCGCAGCCTAGCATATACCCTAGCATAGCACAGACAAGGCAGAGCAAACGCACAAACAATGCGGCATTGTAGATGCAGATGTAGGTGTAGGTGTAGATGTGGATGTAGGTGTACTGTAGATGTAGATGTAGATGTAGGTGTAGGTGTAGGTGTATGTGTATGTGTAGGTGTAGATGTAGATGTGAGTCTCGCTGTTGACGTTGATGTAGATGTAGATGCAGGTGTAGATGTTACTGTAGCTGTCGGTGTAGATGTAGATGCTGCTTTCCTAGATGCTCCAACTCCTAGGTAGGGTCGCACTGGGATAATTTGGTAGCCCGATGGGCACGCCAGGACGCTTCGCCACTGCTTGATCGGTTAGGCCGCCCCTGACTTGGCGGCGCGCACCAGGGGGCAGGGGAAGGGGGGGACGCTTCTTAGAAGGAAGCCACTTCTTAGAAGGCGCCGGCGTTACATCTATGGATAAGACCCACGCCTTCTAAGAAGCAGTGGGAACAAGGGAAGGTGACACCAACACCAGCAGGGCGAGGAGGTGCGAGGAGGCGAGGGGAGTCTCCCTGGTGGTGTGGTCCCCCCTCTCGCTCGAGACAGCCCCAGCATCCAGCTCGGAGAGGCACCGTGGACCTCCTCGCCGGAGGTGTGCCCCCCTGTGGTGCTGGTATCGCTCCTCCTCCCTCCGAGGCCACGGTGCTCCCAAGAAGCATTTCCCCCCCTCTCCCCCTGCCGCCCTCTGCGCGTGGCTGGCTGACGCTCGCTCCCGCCCCCGCGGCGGAGCCGCCGAAGTCGACGCCGCCGGCGACCCGCGCGCGCCTCGCCTCGCGCGGGGGTCTCGGGGGAGGAGGAGGAGGAGGAGGAGGAGGAGGAGGAGGAGGAGGAGGAGGAGAGAGGAGGAGGAGGGCCGCAGGCGCGCCGCCAAGCGGCCGACAAGGCCGCGCGGCTGGGGTGGGCTGGGGCTCTCGCTTGGGCGTCGGGGGGGGGGGGTCAGCAAGGGCGGCAGGCCTGAGGGACCCTCCTCCTCCTCCTCCTCGTCCTCCTCGTCCTCCTCGTCCTCCTCCTCGTCCTCCTCGTCCTCCTCCTCCTCCTCCTCCTCCTCCTCCTCCTCCCAAGGATAAGAGACAACTACTGGGAGGTCTTCGTCGGGAGGATGGTGATGGGCCAGGAAGAGAAGGAGGAGGAGGAGGAGGAGGAGGAGGAGGAGGAGGAGGAGGAGGAGAAGGAGGAGGAGGAGGGGGAGGAGGAGGAAGAGAAGAAGGAGGAGGAGGAGGAGGCGGAGGAGTGCTCGCAACGCCCAGGTCCCAGGGCAAGCACCTCGCGAGAAACGCCAAACCCCTTCTGGTGTCCCCGGTCCTCGGGCCCGTGAAACAGAACAGCGCACCGAGACAGCTACTCCCCAGACCTCTCCCGGGGCGCGTTCCGACCAGAGCTTCGAGGCGAATCCAACGGTGGCGACGAGGACCTCCCGGGAGGCACAAACAGGCGAAAACGAGGGAAGGGAAGCGGTATTGACTACCTACCAGACCACCCCAACCCAACCCGAAGACCCGAATTTCGGGTTGGGGGAATCTGGGCTCCATATGTGTTTTTTCGATGTTCCCGGGCCCCCCCCCCACTGGAAATGGAGGGCGAATTGAGGCCTTCGGGTTGGGTTGGGGTGGTTTGGTGGGTGGTGAGGTATGGGGCACCTTCTCCTCCTCGGACCCCACAGCCCCGCGGGCGCGCCGCGGCAACAACCCCCTCCTCGCAGCCGCTGGCGCGGCGGGCGCCGACGGCGCGCAGAGGGGGGTGGTACAGTCGGCCTTGATTGCACAGGACACGCGAGAGGGCACAAGGCCCTTCTGAGGGCCACATTGCCACAGGAGTGCAGGAGGCATGGGCCGCGAAACACAGGACACGGGGGCACCCTTGACTTGGCAGGGTCGACCTACTGATCCGGGCCGACTGTAGGGAAAGGGAGGGCCGGCTTCTTAGAAGGAGGCTGCTCCTCAGAAGGCGCCGGCCCTGCGCCTGCAGACAGGGCCCGCGCCCTTCCCCCCTCTGGAGGGGCAGCGATGTGGGGGGGGACTGGCATAGGGGGGGGACGCAGCGACCTGGAATCGGCGATACGTCGCCGCTAGATCGGCGATGGGCCTCCGACAATGACTCCGCACCCTCCCCAGACCCCCGACGTCATGATTTTTTTATGACGTCGACCCCCCGAGGTCTCGACCCATTCCCCGGGACCGGTTTTTCGTCCTGAGTTGTTTTTTGACGGTCCCGAGGGCCCCCAAAGGCCAAAAATAATGAAAAACCTCCCGTCGTGATTTTTTCATATCTCGAGGGGGTCTGGGTCCTGGGTGGCCGAGGGCGGGCGGGAGGGCACCGGCGGAGGGCCCCAGTCGTCGTAGTCCTCGGCCCGGCTCCTGGGCGCCGAGCGGCCCGCGGGGGAGGGGCCGAGGAGCGCAGGGGCAGGCGCTGCGGGCGGGCTTCCGGCGGAGCTCGGGCGTCGTGGCCGCCCCGGCCTCGGCGGCGGCCGCCCTCGGCTCCCCCTCGCTCCCCCTCGTTCTGCTCCTCCTCATCCTCCTGCTCCTGCTCCTGCTCCTGCTCCTGCTCCTGCTCCTGCTCCTGCTCCTGCTCCTCCCCCTCCCCCCTCCTCCTCCTCCTCCTCCTCCGTCTCCTCCTCCTCCTCCTCCTCCTCCTCCTCCTCCTCCTCCTCCTCCTCCTCCTCCTCCTCCTCGCTCCCTCCCTCCGTGCCTCCACCTCTGAGGAGGCGGCTCCTGGGAGGCCTCGGCAAGTATGAGGAAGGGCGGCTCGGAGCCCGATGGAGGGACCCCTGAGCCCGATTGGGCCATCCGAGTCGGGGCCCGGCTCGGAGAGAGAAAGTGGAGGCCAGACCACGAGCAGCCTGTCACAAGAAGCCCAACCCTGAGACCCCGGGACGCCCATCGATGTTCGGCGGGGGGGCGTCACGCTTGCCACGGCAAAACCATCAAAAAACGGGAGACACCCGGGGCACCCTGGAGGCAAGCCGGGCGTCTCGTGGCATTGGTCGCCACTGCAGCAACGATGGGGAGGGCGTCCATCCTCGACGGGGGGGGGGCCTCCGAGGAGCTCCCCGAGGGTGCGTCCCCGAGATCCCCCATCTTCTCGTCCGAGTGGCCGTTCCCGGGAGCGGGGGCTCGGGGACTCGGGGAGCACAGCTGCATGCGGCAGGAGGCGAATGGGGGAGGATGGACGGGTGTAGAGTCGGGGCGTTGACCCAAGGAACCCTAAATAAGGAACGAGACCCTTTTTCTCCCAGAAATTAAATTCAGATGTTCCATGGACAACCTCAGGAAAACCCAAGGAGCACTATAAAACAACTAAGGAACACGGAGCCCCTCCCAAACGAAAACGGTTCCTTCTTCAGCGCCCCGACTGTAGGGGAAGGGGGAGGGCGGAGTGGGCAAGCCCTGGGATCTGGGCGTTGCGTGCTTTTTCACACGGGGCATGTTCCGCCTGGCTTCGGGCCCTGGAACCATCACAGATCGATCGGGCCCGAAGCATGCCCCAGAAAGATGCGGTCTGGGGCTCGGTTTGTGATTCTAGAATACTTCTGCATCTTGGTTCGCAGCGTTGGATCTCAGGGGAACAGGGGGGCAGAGGGGAGGCAAGGGGGGCAGAAGGGAGGCAGAAGGGGGGGGTAGCAGGATTCGCAGCACGGGCGCAGGCAGTCTGCGGGAGAACAGCAAGCCGAAGCACTGGGCGGCAAGTTTGCAAAGGGCCCGGGCCGCCCTCGAACGCAGCGCGGGGCACAAGAAGCCCTGGGGGCCCCGACCTTCACGAGCGCCCCCAGCAGCCCGGCCCGGCAGGCAAGCCAGGGCCAAGTCTGCCGAGCCGCAGTACAAGCACCGTGCCCGTCGCACCGTCCCCCGGGGGCTTCTCGGGCCGTCTTCCTGCGAAGGCGAGAGCGGTGTACAGAAGGTCCAGCACATCAAGAAACCCACGGTTTTCGAAGGTCCTCCTGGAGCCCCCTTGGGCCGCCTCGAGGGCCTCTGAGGCCGTCTTGGGGTCCTCCTGGACCGTCTTGGGGGTCATCCTGGGCCGAGAGCACCCCGCGCGACTTGGGCCGGCGAAAGGGCCATGGGTCGGCTGGAGTGCACATAGGCCGCTCCGCGGGGCTCCGCTCCGCGTACCAAGCCCTTCGGGGCCGCATCGCTACAGTAGGGGCGTTGACCTAAGGAACCCTAAATAAGGAACGAGGCCCCTTTTTTCCATAAGTTACACTTCGATTTCCGATCGAAAGCCGAAGGAAAGCCTTGGGCAAGCTGTGAAACACTCAAGAAACACCCAGCCCCTTCCCAACGAAAAGGGTTCCTTCTTCAGGGCCCCGACTGTAGAGGGTCGGGCCGAGTCGCGTCGGCCCTGGAGGAGACCTGGCCCGAAGAGGGGTCTCCCGGCCGCCTGGCTCTCGCGAAGGACTCGGCTCCAGACACACGCAGGATGCCCCAGCCCGAGCGAGGGATCGGTTCCATGGGGCCCACCCTTAGGCACGCCTCTTCGCCAGAACATCGACCGCACAGAGCTGCCTCGAACACAGAAGAGCGGCACTGGTACAGAAGAGGCCGCACGAGGTTTGAACAGACTGCCCGCCGCGCCCTGGAGGTCCCGCGCGCAGAAGCACACACATGGAGCCCGCAGCAGCGCAACGTGCACCCGTCCTCTACATGATGGCACGCCGTAGAGGGGGGCGTCGAGGGAGGGGATGTGGGGCTGCACTGACTATCCACTAGCCATGGCCTCGTGCAACTGAGAGCGCAGCACAAGGCAGGTGGTGGTCCCAGGGACTGGGAGCGCTGCACGAGGCAGCGCCGAATCGCGTGCCCTTGAGCAGGCCAGGCACGGCGCATGGGCGCACGGGGCCTTTTCAGATCGTAGGTCGGGTCTTCTGCGGCATCCAGCCGTGCGGGCTGGTCGTGGGCGCGCTGCTTCACATTGAAACATGTGTCGCCGGCCTTTTGTTTGAGAAGCTGAGGGCGACGTATTACACCGAGCTCGCCACTAGCGTCGGTTTCCAGAGGTCGAGCGGCAGGGTTGCGGCGCACTGCGGCTTTGACGGCAGTAAACATGTAACAGAAGCGGCGCAGGCCCAGTGACAGCGCGGGCGCCAGAAGGAGCTGCCTCAATCCCCCCCCAGGAGGTGGTCCTGAGGCAGAGGGTGCGCGATGAGCCGAGCGAAAGGGAGGAGGGACAGGCGGGCATCCTATGGCGGGGGGGGGGGAGAGGGGGATGGGAGAAGGGAATGGGGGGGGGAGGGGAGAGGGGGGGAGAGGAAGGCGACGAGGCCGACGATCGGAGTGGGGCGTGCTGCGAACACGGCAGCTCAGCATCGATCCTCAGACCGTCCCTCCCCCACGGATCCAGACGCACCAGTGGCGTCCCTTGCTGCGCGCGGGCCGCGGCGGTGCGAGGGCCTCCCCCCCTGGAAGGACAGCGGCCGCTGGCTTCACCGCCCCTCCTCTGCGAGGAGATCGAGGGGGCGCCGAGGCGATGGGGACCGGGGCCCCGCCAACCCAGACACGCCAGGCCAGGACATGTGCACAGCACCCCTCGGATGAACTGCTCCCAGAGTGCGGCATGATGGGGCAACTGCACTGCAACACTCCAGGCCCCCAGAGCCCGCGCACCCACCCCCCAGAGGGGGTTGAAACCTCGACCCTCGGAATTCGATCCTCGAAGCTCGATTCTCGGAGTTCGATCCTCCCGGGATCCTGCTCCTCCGCCGCGCCGGCGAAGACGACGAGAACGACGATCAACATCGCCAGCAAGCATGATCAACTCAAAAAAAACATGCGAAATCAACATATGTTTTCGTTCCCGCCCTCCCCCAAAACACCGCGCTCTGATAGACCCGGACAAAGCGCCGAGTCCTGCAGCGCAGCAGAACAAAAACCGCACTGGACGACCAAACCTGACTTTTGCAGGCAAGGCTGTCGTTTCCCCGACTTGCGAATGTCCTGGTCGGTCTGTGCCCTGGTCTCCGAGGGCCTGATGGGAAGGGGGGGAACTCCAAGCCAGCCAGGCGGGCGGCTGTCCTCTTGCCGAGCCCGCCAGCCCAGCCTCGCATGCCACCGCCGCCGCCCTGGCCTGGGCGCGCGCCAGGAGGTCACGGGGCGATCGCGCGGCCTCGTCATGCTCGCTCATCCTGGTCCTGCTCCTCCTGCTCCTCCCATATCCTGTCCCTCAGCCCCTCCTCCTCTTTCTTCGTATGATCGTTCCATCCTGACAACCTCCTCCCTCCTCCCTCCTCCCTCCTCCTCTCCTCCTCCTCCTCCTCCTCCTCCTCCTCCTCCTCCTCCTGGTCCTCCTCCTCCTCCTGGTGGTCCTCCTCCTCCTCATCATCCTCCTCCACATTGCTCCTCCCCCTTCCCCATCCCTCCCTCCCCTCCTCATCCATCTCCTTCTCTGTTAGAGAACTCCTCCCTGTCGCACCAAGAGGCGCGTCGGTAGGGCGGACCAAGCATTTCGTCTAAGACGTTATTGCAAATTCCGATCACGAAGCTCGAGAATTGCCAGACATGCTCAATCGCGGGTGATGTTCGAAGTGTGACTCCCGCCCCACCGCCGCGCACATTCGTTTCGAATGGTTGCAAGAGGTTCAAGAGTGAAGGGTGTCTTTTTCGACATGGGGCTCTCGCCTTAGCACCCAGCGAACTCGTCTTAACAATTGCAGCGGTTACAAGAGTGGAGCACCAATGGTTTTCAACATGGAGCTCTCGCCTCAGTGCCGCTCTCATTTGTGAACGACTACAGCCGCTCCGAGGATGGGGAACGGCTCCTTCTCAAGGTGGGGCTGTAGCCTTAGCGCCGCGCACATTCGATCTACCCATTCGCAGCAACGTGAAAGATTGAGGACGGCTCTGTTTCAGAGAGAGGCTGCTGCCTCAAGGCCGCGCGCATTCGTTCGATCAACCTGCAACACTACGAGAGTGGGGTGTTCGCCGGATCCGCTATCATACTGGAAGACTCGAAACTTGAACATGAGCTGTAACTGCACGTATGGAGGCAGTTCCACATGGAGCTCTCGCTTGAGACCCCTTGGCGTCCATGGCAATCAGTGCAACCTGTGTTACACGTTCACACAATGGGCACAGGGATCGTGCTGGACACCTCGTTGAATTGTAGACAATTTCGCATGCCGCATTGCTGTCTAAAACGATGCAGGACAGCTCCGTATCCAAGCAGGCCTCTCGCCAGAATGGAAGAGTCGTAGGGTGTTGCTCCTTCATGGAGGGACGTCTTGTAGTGTAGAGGAAGACTTGTGAGGTCCTTTGAGACAGGGGCTTGGGACGGGAGGGTACGCTGCGGACCCGCTGATGCGTCTTGGGTTTCTTCGGTCCTCCTCCTTCTCGTCCTCCTCCTCCTCCTCCTCCTCCTCCTCCGCGAGCTGGCCGATTTCCCGTAAAGCGCTCAAAACTTCGGTGCCTACGTCTGTATAGGCCTGCGCATGGCGCCGCTTGTCGCTCGCTGGCTCCCTTGGGCCCACATCGCACGAGGAGGAAAACCTCCCCCCCCTCCTCCCCCTCCCCTCCCCCTCCCCCTCCCCCTCCCCCTCCTCCTCCTCCTCCTCCTCCTCCTCCTCCTCCTCCTCCTCCTCCTCCTCCTCCTCCTCCTCCTCCTCCTCCCTCCCTCCTCCTCCTCCCTCCTCCTCCCTCCTCCCTCCTCCTCCTCCTCCCCTCCTCCTCCCCTCCTCCTCCCTCCTCCTCTCCCTGGCCCCTCCCTTCCGGCCCTCCCGCCCTCCGCCCCCCGCGGTCCGCGCCGCCCCCCCCCGCGCACGGCCGCCGGCCGCCGCGCTGCCGCGGGGGAGGCGGCGGGCGGGGGGCGGCGGGCGGCCTCCCCGGCCCTCGGGCGCCCACCGCCTGCCCGCGCCCCTGCCCCACTCCTGCGCGAGGGGGCGGCGCGCGGGGGGGGGGGCCTCGGGCCGGGGGGGAGCGCGGGGGGAAGGGAGGAGGAGGAGCGCGGGAGCGAAGGGGGAGGGAGGAGGAAGGGGAGGGGAGAGAGGAGGAGAGGAGGAGAGAGGGAGGGGAGAGAGGAGGAGAGGAGGAGAGGAGGGAGGAGGGAGGAGGAGGAGGGAGGAGGAAGAAGAGGAGGAGGGAGGGAGGAGGGAGGAGGAGGAGGGAGGAGGAGGAGGAGGAAGGAGAGGGGGGAGGAGGGGAGGAGGGAGGAGGGAGGAGGGAGGAGGGGAGTGGAGCAGGGGGTGGGCCTGGAAGCGGGGCGCTCGTGCGGGCGAGCGCCCTCCTCCCTCTCGGGGACGGCGCGGGCGACGCCGTAGCCTTGCAGGCATGGCCCGCGGCCCGGCTACTCCGAGAGCTGGCGCCGCGGAAGTTTCAGGAGTGGAACACGTAGCAAATACAGTAGCAACTCGACCACTAGAAACCTTTTCACAAGAAACCCAACCCTGAGACCCCAGGGAGTCCATTGATCTGTAGTATGGGGGCGTCACGCTTTCCATCGTAGGATCATCGAAGCCCAAGAAACCCATGGCACCCTGAATGCAATCAGGGTGTTTCTTGGCATGGGTTTCCACTGTAGCGTCTCCAGCTTCGTTCAGGTTGCACCTTCGGTAGCCAGCCTGAGACAATCGGTGTTGTTCACGTCGCAGCTATTACGAGAGGGTCGCTCCTCCATGGGACATAGGCGGAGTCGCGCATGTCATCGTCCCATCACCCCTGCTGTTCTCCTGGATGCCTGTGCCCTGTCTGAAAAAAGTATGGAGGCTTGGGTGCCAGTCTTGCGGCGCAGCTTCACACCATTCGTCGTTGCCTCGTAGTCCAATCGCTCATACTGTGTTTGTGCTCATACTGTGCTTGTGCATGAGGCTTTCAGCTTATCTGATCGCGCGCTTGACAGCCACGATTCCAATCCAATCCTCTCCTGTGCGACGATGTTATCTTGTCGATTGCATCGCTGGTATCTGCGGTTGTAAACTGACTATCGGTTGTTTGGCTTCTCCGTGCGTGTCGTCTTCGCGGGGTCGTGGTTTAATCGCCGCTTGTTGGTTGGTCGCGCTGGATGCCGGTCTCGTGCTGGCGGTGCAGCGTCGTCGCGGGGAGCCGACAAGCATACATAACTTGCGTCGTTGGGTGCATCGCAGTTGCTGTCGCAAAGGCTCGGTCAGAGTCCAAGTGGCCGACCCATTGAAAGGGCCCACAAACACACAAACAAATACACAAATAACAGGATTCCCCACATTTTCTCATAGTTTCTGGGTATTTGTCTCCCCCCACTTCCCATATTTTCCCATATGTTCCTGGGAATCGATGATTAATTATGTCTGTGTGTGTTTTTCCCCTCCTGACCCATGTTGTACCGTCGGCCCGTCGGCGTAACAATACCATCGAAGAGCCGGAGTCTCTGTCCTTCAAGGGGCGATGCTCCCCTGTGAATTCTTCTATGGGCGGTTAAGCATGCCCAGCCTGCCGTGATCGGGGAAACTGATCTGCTGTCCCAGGTACTTTGAAGAGGCCCTGGGACACAAATGAATAGACACAAATAACAAGATTCCTCATAGTTGTCCATATCTTCTGGGTTTCTGTCTTCCCCCCCTTCCCATAGTTTCCTATATTTTCTGGGGAAACGACGATCAATTATGTCCGTGTGTCTTTTCCCTCCTGATACTCAACCGACCCACTGCGGAGCAACATCTCAATCTGCATGCTGTTGATGGTCACCACGAGCTGTCGTGCTCTCCCAGCCCTCTCGGTCAGATTCGTCGGAGGCGGGGGGGTGCATGAGTGAGGAGAACGAGGGATGAGCGAGGAGAGCGATGAGGAGGGAAGGCACAGGAGGGAGGAGAGATGAGGAGGGAGGAGAGAGGGGGATGGAGGAGGGAGGGAGACGAAGGAGAGATACGCCAGGGTCAAGGAAGAGGAGGGAAGAGGGAGGAAGGCGACGAGGGGGAGGGAGGACAAGGAGGGGCAGAGGAGAGGGAGGGGACACTTTGGCTGGGAAGCACCTCGAGGGAAACCCCAAAGCCCCTGAAAGCCTTTGGGGTGGCCACGGAGCCCATGAAGACCCTGGACGTCGTTGGAAAAGGCCTTTAAGACAACTGGAAAATCTAGATGCTCGTTTTTTTTCGCAACGGACAGCTGGCTGCGTCACGGGCTTCGTCTTCATGCAACAGTATTCGAGGCAGTGCGCAAGATCTGAAACAGGAGATCCACGCGCGTGGCCGCAAGCCTACGAGATAGAACGGGACGGCGTCAACCTCGAAATGGTGCCGACCTGTCCCACTGCGGGCGCCGCTCTTTCATCGTGGGAAACAGAAGTTGCATGCAAAATGAGTCTCGAAAGCAGTGGCTACCTTCAGCGCGATAACTTATAACTCCGCGCCGAGGGCCAGCCGGCGAGAGCCGAGAAGCCGGACAGCTGCAACTCGAGGATCGGGCCAGATTACAGCCGCTGTCCTTCTCGACAGTGATAGCTGCAAGAGGCGTGGATTCGATCTCTCGACATCTCGAAATCTCGACACCACAAGACCTCGACATCTCGATGTCGGGGGGGCGGCGGCGTCGGACTTGATAAACTCAAACTAGAAGTGAGGGATCGAAAATGGAGCGAAGCTTCTCGCGTCAAGCGGAACTTCAAACTCAAGTCAATGTGAGATTGGACATCTACATCGTGAGCGCACAGCATGTGAAGCAAGAGCGGAGAAGAGAAAAGAAGAGGTATCGATAGCGAGGGAAAGAGAGAGAGAGAGAGAACCAAAAAAACAAAAACAAAAAAAACAAAAAAAAAAAAAAAACGCGACGCCAATTCGCATGCCCCGTCTGTGCCGGTGGAAAATGGACCCGATCGTCGAGCCGCTGGCGCTCCGCCTCCCCCGCCACCAAACCCACCCAACAAGCTTCAATCGGCTCTGCAGCCTGTTCGCCGCACGAGTCATCGGGTTTCGCAACGGACAGCTGGCTGCATCACGGGCTTCGTCTTCATGCAACAGTATTCGAGGCACTCCGCAAGATCTGAAACAGGAGATCCACGCACAGCTGCAACTCGAGGTTCGGGCCAGATTACAGCCGCTGTCCTTCTCGACAGTGATGGCTACAAGAGCGCCAGATCCATGATCGCCTCCTGCTTGAGTTTGCGGGGCGTCAGAAAGAAAGAGGGCCGAGAGGCCAACGTGCGAGGGCGTCAGAAATTGGCCGGAGAGGGCCGAAAGGCCAAACCGCCGTGGGCGCCGCTCTTTTGCTTGGTGGGTGCGAGCGAAATGCGCATCGTGGCTAACAGAAGTTGCATGCAAAGTGAGGCTCGAAAGCAATGGCTACCTTCAGCGTCACAACTTCTTCCGCGCAGCGCGGAGAGAGCTGCCGAAGGCCAGCCGGCGAGAGCCGAGAAGCTGGGCAGCTGCACCTCGAGGATCGGGTCAGATTACAGCCGCTGTCCTTCTCGACAGTGATAGCTGCAAGAGGCGTGGACTCGATCTCTCGACATCTCGAAATCTCGACACCACAAGACCTCGACATCTCGATGTCGGGTGGGCGGCGGCGTCGGACTTGATAAACTCAAACTAGAAGTGAGGGATCGAAAATGGAGCGAAGCTTCTCGCGTCAAGCGGAACTTCAAACTCAAGTCAATGTGAGATTGGACATCTACATCGTGAGCGCACAGCATGTGAAGCAAGAGCGGAGAAGAGAAGAGAAGAGGCCGAAGACGTCGAGCGACGCAGTCGTCACTTTCCGACTCGCAGGGCGCAGGCTAACATCGACGAGCAAAAAGCACACGCCCCTATCCATAGGGGGGACGGAGGAGGCTATGGGTGCATGTTGTCGCCTCTAAGAAGCCCCAAGAGGCCCCCCAGGCCCCAGAGGCTCCAAGGTTCATGCTGCACGCTGGGCACACTCCGCTGTCGTCTATAAAGAGGCGCACTCGCACATGCTGCTTATGAGCAATCCAGCTGGAATTGGCAAATATCCGCCAATCTCAAAAAACGCCACAATCGACAGAGACTTTCGCCTGGAGGAGGGGGGGCAGGACCGCGGGCACCAAAGCTGAAAGAGGGGAAACAACTTGCGAGAATCGGAGAAGAGGGGGGGCGACGACAGCGTCGCAGAAACACTCTTCACCAACGTCGCGAAACTGGAACACCATGCCACACCGCACACCTGGGCTGCAACTCCGCGCCCCCTGTAAGCTCCCAAAAATCACAATGGTCAGCCGAATGCATCACCTGATCTATTGCGTGCTCCGATTCAGGAAACCCACTGGTTCTCTTGTCCGATCCTCAGGCGCTGCAGCGCTGTCAACCGAGACCTCCTTCGCACCACCGCCTTCGGCTTGCCTCCCACGACGCCGTAGTACTCCTCCTGGAACGCCATGCGGCAGCCAGCCATCCGCAGCACGCTGGCGTGCATGTTCGCCTCCTGCACTCCTCGGCTTACCTGCAAGCCCACCGCAGGACTCCCACAGAAGGCGATCATGGAGCCGCCCGTGGGGGCGCACCTGTCGTGCAGAGTGTCCCTGAGCACGTCCGACATCCTCTTGACCACCCACTCGACAACGTCGGGGCGTTCGAAGCGCACGCAGCTCTCGATAGCCGATCCCTGGATGAGCCTCCGGAGCCTCCGCTCCTCGGCTGGGGTCACGCCCGTGAGGTAGACGTCGAGGCCGAAGAGGAGATCCAGCTGCCAGCGGCTGAACTTCTTGAGCAAGTCCGTCATCATGTCCTCCAACTCCTCGCAATTGGCCGCGAAGCCGTCTCCTCCACGCACCATCCATAGCACGCGGAACTTCCCGTTCTTGACGAGGTCGTGCTCGACACCCAACTTTGAGCTGGCGTCGCCCATGCGCAGGACCTGACTCGCGGCGTAGATGCGCGCGATGCGCCATAGCGCGAACAAGCCGCGCAAGAGCACGGCCATGTGAGAGGGGGCGATGTAGAAGGACGGAACCTCGCCCGCCCATGCGAAGTGGGTGCCGAGCATAAACGCCACTGCCACCGCATCCAGCACGTACGCGAAAGACCGCTCGAAGATGCGAGGATTCGCCCAGAAGTAAACCCGGTGCACCAAGAAGAACGAGATGCAGACGAGGCTCATGACCTCCAACGCCTTCCACTGGCCTGCATCGACCTTTGGGAACTTGGCATTGAACTCCATTTCGTCCAGGTACTTCCAAGAGAACGTCCAGAAGCCCTGACACATGTCCAGCAGCAGGACGATGTGCGCGATGAAGTCGAACGCGTAGTGGCAGTACGTACGATTCGTGGCCCAAGACATGATCATCGAAGTCTGCGTGCCCCTCGCCCGCATGCAGCGCAGCTTCCACTTGTACTGCAGCATGATGAGCCCCGCGTGGACCACGGCCTCGTTGAGCGCCATGTGCTCCAGCCGAACCGCTTTCTCAGGGTCTTCTTGAATCCCTTGCAGCAGCTCCTTGTTCATGAGCGTCAGCCTGCGATAGCGCTCCCTCATCAACGACATCATGGGCACGATGCCCGTCCCCGTGCCCACTGCGCTGACGCTCACGAAGTTATTTGTATCGAACCCTGGACCAAACGGGCCCATGATGTTCACTCCGCTGATCGCCCTCTTTTCGATGGCGTCGGCCAGCTTCTCGGTCCACTGACCTGAGCACAGCTTCCTCTGGCGCAGAGCCGATGGAGAACGGGTGGAACGTAATGTCCAAAGAAGGTATCTGGATGTACGCGTACTGGCCAGGAGCGAACTGGAAGTCGACCGGCCTCTTGCACACCAGCGTGAGCATGCTCTTCGTGGAAGTGACCGCGGCCTCCTGCACGGGCACGTCGCGCCGCATGGTGAGGAAGCTCCAAGCCCTGTCCCAAAAAAATAAACTGAGCGTCGTGGCGATGAATCGGAAGTCCTGCGACCGATTCTTCCCGACGCGAGTGCCGTCCCGAAACTGGTCGTCCAGGGTGTGCGCAATGGCTAGGCCGAACAAGACGAATACGAAATGGTGCAGCACGTAGAACCACTCGAACGGCATGTGGCGCCGCAGGGTGGAGCTTACCATCACGATCACCAGGAAGACGAAGATGCCTAGTCCTGTGATCATGATCTCGCTCTGCATCTTCTCGCAGAAATCGACGGGCTCGAGAGGGTGGCCGAAGTGTCCGAGGTGTTGTCGGCAGCCATGCCCGAAGAAGACGAAAAACACGATGGTGGCGAAGATGATGAAGAAGCACGTGATGTATCCCAGGACAATGTGGAAGAACGTCATGTGCTCCAGAGGGACGAAATTTCGAATCCTTGTTCGAGCAGCCAGGGCAAGAAGGTGGCGGCTCATCGTGACAGGCAGCCACACCATCTGCCAAAGAATGGCGTGCTTGAGGCCAAACAACAACGGCGGAATCAAACGCTTCTTCCAGTAGTTGGGCATTGGCATGCCAGCATCCTCCGGGGCCAGGGCGTCCTTCGCGGGGATTAGCTCGGGGAGTCCCTCTTGCTCCCTGAACTTCTTCAGGAAAAAATGGGACCAAATCAAGAAGGTGATAACGAGATGAACAACGACGAAGAGCTTCCACTGGTAGCTGGTGGCGTACGTCGACAAGAGCGTGCTCGCAAACCCGCTCCGCCGCTCTTTCAGCATCCTCTCGGACAGCTCCAGCTGCCTCCTCTTGAACTCGGCGCGGGCCTGCATCGCGCGGACGCTGAACAACCAGATCTTGCGGATATCCTCGCCGGAGACGTGCTGGCGGGAGAGGTTGCTGCCGGTGGCAAACCAGCGCTTCATGTAGCTTGCCCTCTTCGGTGACAAAGGGGAGGCCGTCGGCGAAGAAGGTGCCCCCGTGGAGCCAGGAGACTCGGGAGAGAACTCCATCGTCCCAGCGTGCGAGGGAGGAGAAGTGGATGCACCGGTGAGGTGTCTGGGAGCAAGATCGATGTTCTCGAGCGGTTTGAGGTGAACGGCTTGAGCCAAAATGACTACGGAAAATCTAGATGCTCGTTTTGGTAACCTTGTTCTGGAGCAAATCGCTCAACTCATGCGTCGATGCTGCGTCGAACGTCCGCCGACATAAGTCCGCCGACCCCTTGGTGGTCACTCACCTGCTTGGTCGTTCTCGGTACCCGTCAAATCGATCATGAGGCGCGCCGATTCGGGGCGAATCGACTCGGTCTCGAAGACTGCGGAGCTCGGAGGAGGTCTATCTGATTTTGGAGCCCGGCTAGACAGTTCAGGCATGCGTCTCTAATCGATCGAGGCCAACTTGGAATCGTGAGCAGACATCGTCGCCGCATTCCGTCGTTGGCGCGGCTTCTGCGCGAAGAGTTTCGCGTGGACAATGTCGCACAAACCCAACACGGGCATCGCTCCGGGGATCAAATCGGGCATCGTTTCGGGCATCAGCTCGGGAAACGCATTTGGCGAATTAAATTTCGGGGCGTGGGTTTCGGGCGCCACTTCAGGCGCAACTTCGGGCACAACTTCGGGCTCAACATCGGGCAACACATGGCGATCCTTCCGACTGCCTCATCGCAGTAGTGAACAGGCCACAGGGTTCTGGTTGCGGTGGCATGCCTTGTCAACCTAAGGCCTGCTGATGGCGATGACGATGACGATGACGGCGATAATCAAGAAATCCAAGACGACAGTGCTGATGAGTCGCATGGCTGCGATTGCTCAAAATATCACAGCTTCCATCAAACATATGTTCGACCCGCCAACCTTTTCGGGCCCGTCGAGTGGGATTAGATACTGACGCTGTGAACGCTGGTAATGGACCCTCGCAGCGCCAACAAAAGATAAACATGCACGGGATGGAACCTCGCAAAGCCAACAAGGACAAACGCAGGGGATGGAACCTCGCGTGCGGCCGGCGCGACGCCATTCTAGGCGGAGGGGATGCGAGAAGGTTGCAGCAGGACGGGAAGATGCGCAGGAAAGCCAATACAACCCTCCCACGGGGACTCCTTGCTGGGGGTGCAGTGGCGTGTGAGGTGATTGGCCTCCCCCCTCCCCTTGTCCCCCACCCCTGAAGCTCCACATCGCACTCGAGCGGGGGACCACCGAGCTTCTGCACGCATCTCTGGGGCCTCTGGAGCCTCCAAATCTAGTCTGCGGCCTCGACAAAGCCAAAGCCCAAGGTTCCGTCTAAGCTTACTCAAGCTGGGCCCCAATACGCCAGAGAGGCCGCGCAACCACTTTAGGTAGTCCCAAGACGGCCCGAGAAGCCTCCAAGACGGCCAAAGAACGCTCCAAGTGGGACTTCCCCGAGGGCGGCCCCCGGGGCACTCCCGCCCACCCCTGGCAAGCCAGGCCAAGCAGGAGGCGCGGGGGGCGTCCACGTCGCCGCGGCCCCTGGCGCTGGCCTTCGCCTGGGGGTGCGAAGACGCAACGAGCAGCCGGTCGAGAAAGAGTAAGAGGTCGAAGAGATGCAGTCCCAGACATGCTCGCATCGTGAAACATATCATCAAATTTTTGACCGTTTTCGGCTTCTGGGGACCCTCACCGGGCTCTTTGACCGTCAAACGATAATTCGGGATGGGAAAAACAGCCCTGGGGAAAGGGTCGGAACTTCTGAGGAGCGCGCACTGGACAAATCAAGACGTCGCATGTCTGGGGTCGTTGTGTTTCCACCAGGGGCGCCAAGTGGGTTTCAAAAGGGGGTCTCTTCGGGCTACGGCGAGCCTCTGCCACGAACAAGCCCCCCAGCCGGTCCGAAAATCAGGGCTCCTCTTGGGCTCAAAATTGTGCGATCTCTTCCCACGTGCAAATGCCATCCGCATGGTGTCAGCTCGCGCGCCTGCCGTGCACATCACGAGCGGAGCGAGAAGAGATCGCGGTGCAGATCCGCAGCCCCTCTTGAAAAGGGCGGAGGCCGATGCTGCACATGAGGATTCAACCTGGTGGAAAAGACAAAAAAAACACCAGCCACGAGGGGGGAGAGAGGAGGAGGACAGAAGAGCGAGAGTATAACGGATGGATGTAGCCGCAGGAAATTATCAAGAACACCCTCATCAGAGTTCTCGACAGCACCGCACCGGTATTAATACATTCCAAAGGGATTTTGAGCCGAATGAGAACTTTACCACCGCGCCAAACAACAAAAACAAATAATC